CTATGAGAAGAAATGATTTGTGTCACTATTGTTAATTCCGCTGACTTTTCTCACAGTTTAGCTGAGGCCATTTCAGATTTCCCCACCTTCGGAGCTGCTCACTAACTAAAGAGATTTCTTTTCGGCCAAGATAGGGGAAAAGTGCAGATGCAGGGTAGACGGTGCAGGCGGTGAAGGCAGTGAAGGCGGTGGTGCATAAGCGAAAGCAACAGAAGCTCTGCGGCAGCGATAAAAATTACTTTCAAACTTGTTGGCAATAGCGATGTAAACGTGCAACTTTCATGTTAAGGTGTTTCTAAGTTATTTATTATGATTTATATTTGCAAAGCTATGCTTGTACGGGTATATGCTAGAATGTCAGCGAAGAGTGTGTAATGTGTTGAAATGTTCATCTACATGTGTAGATGTACATATGTATATATGTATTTACATACCTGTGTATTCGTCGAGTTAAAATGCGTTTATGACTGTCTCGTATAGTTGTGGTTGGCTTTTATGTGGCGTTGTTTATTATTTACGGAAATTATCTTCTCAGGCAGTTTTTTCTTTAGTTTCGTATTTGGCTTACGACGTGATAAGAGAATGTGACTGTAAGTTTGTAAAGCAGATGCTTATATGCATCTACAATGTACAGCCGAATAAAGTGAGGGGAGGGTGGTTACAAGCTACAATTCTGAACACTTGGCCTAAATTGCAATTTTTTTTGACACACTGTTGTTGATATCATTTTCTTATCCGAAATAGTTTGGTATTGTCAACTATTTCGCAATGAGTGACTTATTAGACCTGACAGTTTCATATTAGATCCAAAAAGTATGGTAATAGAAATCATATTTTTGTTTGAGGAAAATTTGGTGTTGGAGTTTCGTCAAACCAATGCTTTCATAGCTAAACAATCTAGTTTGGTAGTGGCCTTGATCGAAAAAATTGAACTTAATGGGAATATGGGGCATATTAGGTCGGCACATAGATGTGTTTTGAGGCCTAAAATATCACAGAACTGATAGTAGCGATAGTTACTTTGAATGTGGAAGCAACAATACTCCTCAACCAAAATGATTTCAACGAGGTTGTCAAAGGTCTGAAATGGTCAACAAACTGTTGAGTCACCGAGGATGCGAGCGTGGAGGCTACTGGTATACCGAACCTATGGGACGGCATTTCAAGCGCTTTACGTACAACTGCAAACGAAACTGTTGGTAGCAAAAACAGCTGGTACGATGAGAACTGCCGTGTCACAGTGAAGAGAAAACAGACTGTCTACCTCGCAACCTTGCGATCGACCACAACACGTGCGGAATGGGATAGATACCGAGATATGAAGAGGGAAGCAAGACACATCTGCAGACAAAAAAAGAAAGAGGCCGAGATACGTGAGTTTGAAGAGCTTAAGAAGCTAGCCGACCAGAGAAATGCTCGAAAATTCTACGAGAAGATACGACGACTTACGGAAGGTTTCAAGACCGGAGCAGACTCTTATAGAACAAAAAGAGATTATCTAGCTACGGATGCACAGAGGATGTTGAATTTATGGAGCGAACACTTCTCCAACCCGCTGACGAGTAGAAAAAAAGAGAATCCGGAGATGGTGAGCCCGAAACCCCAAACGAGGACGATGGAAACGACGTTCCATTACCTTGCCATGAAGAAGTTCGAATAGCAATCGCCCGCTTAAAAAACAAAAACAAGGCGGCGGGAGCTGACGGCCTACCGGCAGAACTATTCAAACATGGCGGCGAAGAGCTGATAAGGTGCATGCATCAGCTACTTTGCAGAATATCGTTGGATGAAAGCATCCCAACTATTGGAATCTAAGTGTGTTCTGTCCAATCTGCGCAGTTTACCATGGGATAAGCCTCCTTAATATTACTTTTATGGTTCAGTCGAGTATTTTCCGTGAAATTCTGAGCCCACCGTAAGCAAACTGATTGGGCCTTATCAGTGGGGCTTTAGATCTGTTAAGTCAACCATTGAACCGATATTCATCAAACGCCGAATCTTGGAAAAGATCCATGAAAAGAGGTTCGACACCCACCACCTCTTCGTCGATTTTAAAGCCGCCTGCGACAGCTCGAATAGGAGCCGCCTTTCGTTTCTTCGCGCAGTGTTGTTAAATTGACTATATTTGCGTAAGCGGTGTCTACGCCTGTAAAGTAAGTAAGTAAGTAGGCTACTGGAACAGCTTTCGGCTTATGGTTTGAGCGGGAAAGTAATTCGTAAATGAAAGTTTTTGTTCGCCTTAAGAATTAAATATATTAGAATCAGCTCTGTACGTATAGTGATGATACAGACACAAGTTTAAACTATATAATTGACGCTTTTCAACTGCTAAAGCGATTTTCAGGAGAGCTCCCTCGCAAAATTTGCGGTTTGCCTCGTGATGTTTTACCAAAAAATGGAGGCACGTAAAGTTTATTCTAAGCCGCCTCCGAATGGCCAATTGGATTTTTTATGAGGAGCTTTTTTTTTTAGGTCAGGCATACACTCTTAGGGCTAACAATACCCTGTCGAGGAGCGCCCGCTGTTATTATTATTTTTCTAATATTATAGAGGTTGGTAAGGCTAGGACTCAAACCCTTGCTGTATGGATTGGACTAATATCATGCAAATTAAAGCTTTCTTAAAAAGTATTACTGTAAACTAAGATTTTATAGAGGTAAAATTCAACCAACCCAGAAAAATATTTTAGTCAATAACAGGACATGTTTGGTAAAAAGAAAATAAAATATAAATAAATTGTAAAGCATGCAGCTAATTTCTATTATGTATGTGTCGATTATGAAAGATAAAAAAAAAACTGAACGACGGATGAACTCAAGGCAACACACAGTATTGTATGCCCTTGTAATCAAAAATAGAAGTAAATACCATCATCCGTGAACAAGTGGGCTTCAGTTTATGTTTAGAGGCGAGTCAATGGTTCCAGCGTAGGCCAGATAAACATCTTCACGTATAGAGAATAGTATTGGCAGGAAATGCCAATAACTCCGAGTACATGAAGTAGACATTTTTCACAAACACAGGCCAGACTTCCAGTAGCGGAATCTGAAACTTAGTTTAAATAATAATATCAGTTTTTAAGTCTGAATGAACCTTTAAACAAATTTAATTATTTTTCCTTCTTGAGTATTTTCTATTTTCAGACAAGTCTCCTAAGAAGACGTCCCGAGCTAGCCCCAAGGGACAGTTTATTTGTATAATAGGCGCTTTGTAACCGCTGAAATGATTTTGAGACGAGCTCCTTCCCTATTTGTGGTATAAGTTTTGATGTTTTTCCAACAAATGGAGAGATGTTCACTTTATATTGTACTAAGCTAAGTAGCTTTCAGTTCATTTAATAATTACACTCGGAGGTGTTGACATTCCCTGCCGAGGGAGGCCCGCAATCAGACCTCTTTTTATTTAAATTAATTTTTATAATTTTTGAATGTTGGTCGGAGCACGACTCGAACCATTGGCCTTTCGAATGCCAGTGCGCAATGCTAACTACTCGGATATCTCGGCCGCCTGGACAAAGGGCAGTCAGCGAGCTAAAATTAACCATATTCCATATGCATACCAATCCGAACAAAGACGAATGTTTCGAGGGAAAACCCCTCGGGTTTAACTGTGGAAATACGAGTATATGTATTGTATTTGAATGGAAGATCTCCTAAAAGCTCAGAGGCAGTATTTTTATGCCAACACCTAAGAACAAAGGAGTTAAACCCACTCACATTCTTGTAGATAGTCAAGCGGCAACAATTAAGGCAAGTAAATATGTCAGCACAATGGTCAAATGTGTGAGATCATTCAAAGAGGCAATCAATATATTATCAACGGAGAAAATAGTAAACATGGTAATACACAGGTCTGGAGGTAGTTGAAGTGGTAGTTTGTGACTGCTAGATGGGGTTGTTTGATGGTATTTGTTGAGTTTTCGATTGAAAATTTGTTCAGAATGAAAGGATCGTATTGCAGAATCCATGATAGAGTTCGCTTTTCAAACGTCGCGTGATGTACAGTTAGTTTTTACATTTCGTTTCTTCTTCTTCATTAACTGGTTCACCGCTCATGCGACTATAGCCGATTCAACAATAACGCGTCATTCATTTGATTCAGGCCCCAGTTGGAAATATCAACTAAAGCCAGATCACATTCCACCTGATCCTTCCAACGAAGTGGAGGTCTATCTCTTCCTATACGTCCACCGGCGGGTACTGCATCGAATACTTTCAAAGCTGGAGTGCTTTCATTCATTCGGACGGCAGGAAGTTGCTCCTTTTTAATTCGCTGAACTAAATCATTGCCGCCGTATAACTCGTACATCTCATCGTTCCATCGTCTACGATATTCGCCGTTGGCAATGCGCAAAGCTCCATAAATCGTTCGGAAAACTTTTATCTCGAAGACTCCAAGAGCCGACTCATCAGCTGTTGACATCGTCTATGTTTCTGCGCCATATAGCAGACGGGCACGACGAGCGACTTGTAGAGTTTGGTTTTCGTACGTCGAGAGAGGACTTTACTTTTCAATTGCCTACTCAATCCAAAGTAGCACCTGTTAGCAAGAGTGATTCTGCGTTGGACTTCAAGGTTAATGCGTTAATGCTGGCTCCTAGAAAGACGTAATTATCTCCTCGAAGTTATGACTGTCAACACTGACGTGAGAGCCAAGTTGCGATAGCGATGACTGTTTGTTTGATGACAGGAGATATTTCGTCTTGCCCTCATTCGCTTCGCTTCTTTATCAAGTCCTGAGAAAGCCTGTAACTTGCCGATCCGGATGGAGCTTTTGGGGCTGCTTAAGTTCAGTTTACACAGCCGTTGAAATTTTGCGGGTTACCAGATTCAGACATCGTGGCGTAAAGGCAGTTCCTTTTCGTGCTGTCGAAGGCGGCATTAAACTCGACGAAGAGGTGGTGAGCATCGATTCTCTTTTCACGGGTCTTTTCCAAGATTTGGCGCATGGCGCTTAATCTTAAGAAATACCACAATATTCAAAGTTATAAAACGATATGATGCAATCACGTACTTAAAATTTATTATCAATAAGACTAACTTAAAGTCACACAACACACAGCTGCTCATTTGATACAAATACTAAAATACTGAAATATTCTAACAAAGTAAATTCATATTTTCCTAAACAGTGCAACAAACCCCGACACGTGTTACTAATCCCACCAGCAGCTTCACGGAGCAAACTTTGTTTGGTTGAGGTGTACTTCTTCCGCAGTTGGCGCTTTCGCCACTTTCGGCGGTGCTTTGGGTAAACTGAAGAATTTCTGCCAACAAGAGAGAAAATTAAGTTATTATTTATAATTTTTAGTTTGATTGCATATATTTTCCACATTAACTTACATCATGCTTGCCGAAATGTCTCGCTTCCTCCATGGTGTCGGGCAGTTTCTTATGCAGTGTCTCAGGCAGGAATGTCGCACCAATGCCACCAATCAGAAACAAAGTGCCCAATATGTAATAGGGCGCTCTTATATCGACGGTCGTGCCCAAGTAAACAAGGTATGGTGCGAAAATACCCACTGCGTTGGCCAAAATCGTGCCCAGCGCTATGCCGGTCTGTCTCATGCAGGTCGGATATATTTCCATGCTTTGCAAGTTGACCATGAAGAAGGTCAACGCATTGAGAAACTTAATGAAGGTGGCCAAACCAACCATTATCCGCTCATATTTAACATCTGTGTGATATTAATTATTTTATTTAAAAAGTAGAAATTATATGGTACACGTATGTGTGTGTGTTTTCGTAGGTGGTTCATGCATGACTTTACCTGGTGCTAAAATGATTAACGGTATGCAAGCGAGGAACGAGAGAAGGAATGATGAGCTGTTTGTAAAGCGTCGTCCATAGGTATCGCCTGACGGGCGGTGTTTAAAAAACAATCCTTTAAGACTTGATTTATTTTAAGAAACTGCTTAAATACATACCCAGGTATCTGGCTACCACATACGCAGGTATTTCCACCACACTTTGTAGCAGAAAATTAAGGAACGGATTACCACCCATGCGTGTGCTGAATAGAACCAGTGTGAAGTAGGAGACTGCCACCACACACCTTTAGTAATATGAGAAATGTGAGTAAATTGGAAATAAAAAGTAATTTGTTCATCTAAATTTTTCGCTTTAAATGCACTTTGACCCAATTCGTGTAGCCACAGTTGAAATAAAAGCACATTTTCCAGCGCTTTTTCTTGTTGACCTACCAACTGAAGCCCATAATGCTTGTGTTCCGCGTCAGATGCCAACCACTGAAGAGCGACGCCATGCCGTATGTCACCTCGTCCGCTTGCTTATTGGCGTACAGCTGCACCAACTCCTTCTCGGTCAAGTCAAATTGGCGGCCATTTATTTTTGCAATTTTCTTAAATTGCGTGATCGCGTCCCGATAACGGTGTTTGCTAATCAGCCAGCGAGGTGATTCAATGACGTATCTGTGGAGTGAAAAAAAAATAATAATAAAAATGAAACACTAACTAACTTTTGTCAGAAAAAAAACCTTAGTTTGTAGGCCAATAACACAAAGAGTATCCAAAAAAAAACTACATATATATATATATATATATATATATATATATACTGCTATTGAAATGGCGTATGCCGAGCAGAGACGGGTGTGCATATTGGCGGCATAACCATAAAATCACTCGTTATGTAGACTTCATACCAATCGCTCATGTCTATCAGACTGAGCACGTTTAGTAGCGGGTGTTGAAGGGACGACCGACCGAATGGCCAAATTGCATGGGATAGCGTAACAGAGCAGCACGTGAAATTGAAACAATTGAGTGATTTTGATTGGATCCAGAAGAGTGCTCACTGCCGCTATTCGATGTGATGCGTTGCGCTCGAATGAAATTCACAAACGAAATCGATTTCAGTGTGTACAAGTCCAGAGTCCCACTGGCAAGTCGTACAGATTTGGAGCGTGTGCAACATCAACACACACACACACACATACACATAAGAGTAAGTTGGAAAAAAAGGCAGACAAATAGTAGTAGTGGATATGGAATGCGGGAATGACCGCTGGTATAGGGGCGAGTGACTGCCGTTTATTTGTTATCCCCACTCTCATACTCTCTTTCGTATTTCGTACTCACACATGCATGCGCACATGTGCATGAACTGTACGTCACGTCGTATGAGAAACTTTTATACTTTTCTATAGAAGTAGCGAAACGATTAATGTTTATTGTACTTTGTTTCGTCTGCAAATTTGATTTTTTGTTGTACAGATTTTGTTGTACTCATCAGTGTTTAGTAGTATTTAGCGTATCTTCGTTTTGTTAAGTGCATACGTACTTGAAGAAAATTAAAATTATTGCTGTCGGTACTGTTGTTAGCCACATAAAGACGACCCAATCACGTAGCCACCAGAAGAGCAATGGCATCAATGATGTTCCAATAGACCAGCCAATACTCTGGTAGATTGCGATGATACTGCGGTCCTGTCTGTGAATTTGAAATGAAGAAGAGCAGAAAAGTAGAAATGTAGTAAACAATATGCAGTGTGTATTTTATTAGCTCTACTGTTGAAGATTGACTCGTTGAAGCAAATACATGTAGTATATAAATAAGTATTTGTCTCAATAAATTTAAATAAAATTTCTTTGAAATAAATATTAATTCAAAATCCAACAGTCGACTAAATTGAGCAAAATGTTTGAAAAATAATCTGTAAATGTAAATAAATATCAATATGATCTGGCGATAAGTTGATTTAGTTATGGCCACCTTTCTCCTAGTACCATATAAATGCAAGTACAAATAAATGCAGCCTACTTAGATTCTAGGACAACCGAGCTGGTTGGATGAGTGCATAAGTTCGTGCCCGATTCCGCTGGAAGCCGTTCGAATCGTTTGAGAGTGGCGCTCGTGAAAGAAATATATACATATAATATTATATATCGTTGGAAAGGTGACAGTCCGAACTGTAAATCAAGCATAAAATAACTTCATTTTGATTTGAGTTGCTTAGTGAAAAGACGCATGGAAGATGGACAACGAAAAAGATCATATGCGTCATATTATGTTATACGAATTCCGCAAAGGAAAAACAGTAGGCGCTGCAACTAAAGATATTCGCGAAGTTTATTTGGACCGTGCTCCAGCACTCCGCACAGTAAAGAAATGGTTCGCGAAATTTCGTTCTGGAGATTTTAACCTCGAAGATCAACCTCGCAGTGGACGGCCTTCTGAGCTTGATGACGATGTTCTAAGGACTTTAGTTGCGAATAACTCACGTATTTCGACGGAAGAGGTTGCCAGTGAATTGAACGTCAACAAATCAACTGCGTTTCGTCGTTTAAAAAAGGTTGGGTACACTTTGAAGCTCGATACATGGGTGCCACATCAGTTGAGTGAAAAAAACAAAGTGGACCGTATGTCAACAGCAATTTCTTTGCTTCGACGGATCAAAAACGAACCTTTTTTGGATCGGCTCGTGACTGGTGATGAAAAATGGATCCTGTACAACAATGTTCAACGCAAAAGAACATGGAAACAGGCACACGAAGGGGCGGAACCGATGTCGAAAGGTGGATTGCATCCGATGAAGGTACTGCTGTGCATTTGGTGGGATATCCGAGGCGTGATCTATTTTGAGCTCTTGCCAGCTGGAGAAACGATCACTGCCAACAAGTATTGTCAGCAATTGGTCGAATTGAAGAAAGCAATTGATGAAAAACGTCCGATTTTGGCCAATCGCAAAGGAGTTCTTTTCCATCATGACAACGCCAGGCCACATGTTGCAAAACCGACCCTGGCCAAACTGAAGGAGATGAATTGGGAAATCATGCCGCATCCCCCATATTCACCCGACATTGCACCGTCTGATTATTGTTTGTTTCGATCGCTGCAGAAAAATTTGAATGGAAAAAAATTTAAAAATGTGGAAGTCGTCAAAAACCACCTTGACACCTTTTTCAACGAGAAACCGCCCGATTTATATGAATCAGGCATCCGTAAATTGGTTGAACGTTGGGAGTGGATTGCCGAACATGATGGCGAATACATAATTGATTAATAAAAGCGCTTTCTTCAAAAAATTTCGATTTTAGTTTTGCTTTTAAAAAAACTTAACTCATTGAAATTTATATGAGAAATAAGTAGAGTTGAGGATGCTGGGAACCGAACTTATAACGAAAATTTCCATATTTTTGATGTTACAAATACCCAGAATGTTTTGATTTGAGTACAGTACAGTTTCTGTTTTTTTTCAATAACTTATTATATTCAACTTGGCCGAAAAAATGAAATTAGATCACTTACAACTTTCTCTATTTGCAGAGTTCATTCAGCAACAGTGATTTATCGTGCCATTGAGGCAACTGTGGGTGTTTGTGGGACCAGAATACATTCCATTTTGCATGAACATTTGGATGTAAGTAAATTGGTTAACATTGTATGCCACATACAGTATGACAATTAATTGTTTGCAAAATGAAAAAAATCACAAAAATCTCTTTTCAAATTTTATTTTATGAATGAAAGTATTTTAGTTTCCTTTTTTAATAATAGGTATTGTTAAGCTAAGTATTCTTAACAAATATCACTCGCAGAAATAACAAACATTAAAACCGAACGGTAAAAAAAAATAGCAAATTTAAAATTCGCCAAATATTGCGTAGTCAATTAATTCTTTGCGAAATGCCCACAAAATTCAAAATAAAACGTAAATAACTTAACGGTACCACAAATTTGAAAACGAGTGCACGCATGCGTCATGGCTATGCGTTGCTCCATTACATTCAATTCGATTATTGCTTAAGACAGTTCAGATCTTGTTGATTTAGCGGTTTTAACAATGCTTAACAAGCGAACTAATGAAAATCTTATTCAATTAGTTTATTTTAACTACAACAAAGGGAAATCGGCTAAGGAATCAGCGGAAATGTTTTCCATTAAGCTTAGAATGATTTATAATATTATTAAACGCTCAGAAAAAGAAAACAAGTTGGCGTTAAAGTACTCTGAAGGTAGACCACCTAAACCTTCTAGACGCGATCATTCAAAAATTTTAGTGCAGATCAGTGATAATCCTCAAATCACCCTGAGAAAATTGGCGTTAGATATTTAAAATGATTGCCACAAAACAGTAAGTCACGAGACAATCTGAAAAGTCTTAGAAATACACAAGTACTCCTCGCAAATAGCTGGAAAGAAACCATTGTTGTCGGTAGTTAATATTGAGAAGCGGCTCAAATTTTCTATTACCAATGTTTACTGGGCTGCGGAATACTAAGATGACGTTATTTTGTGCAACGAAACAATAATAATGTTATACTATCGTGATGAACCCAGTGAAGTTTGGTGAAAACCCAACACAGCTTTGCAACAGAAAAATATAATTCCAGTAAAACAGTAAAATTTGGTAAGCTTTCTGTAATGGTTAAGGGTTGCATTTCGTCGAAAGATGTTGGTGAGCTCCGAATTTTCAATAACATGATGACTTTGATTCTAAAGAACGAATTGCCTGGGAGTGCGATAAGATTTGGATTTGTTGACCATGAAAATCCTAATAAATTAAGGTACAACCTATACCAGGAGAACGATCTCAAACATAAATCATTGCTGTGCAGGGCGTGGCTACTATATAATTGCAGGCAAGTGATTGTCACTGCTGCCCGGAGACTGATTTTTCCCCATAGAAAATGTATGGGCTTTTTTTAAAGGAGCGAGTGTGCAAACGGGGCCCAACTAATATAAACGCTCTCATTAAGGTCATTCAGGAAGAGCGAAACAAAATACCTGAAAATTATGATTTATCCAGTCCATGCCCCGTCGTCATCGCGCTGTTATAGTTGCAAGTGGCTATCACACCAAGTAGTACCAACACTGCTATAATTTCCCAGTTTTAATTATATTTGCAATAGAATAATTGACATAATAAATGATTGATTAATAATTTTTGCTGTCTTTTGAAGTTTTATATCTCTTTTACTTTTATGTTTTGAATTCTGGAATTTGTGTGTATTATTTATGTTAAGATTACTCACACTAAAATTATTTAAAAAATCAAGTTAAAGAAAATTGTTTTAGTTAATAAAAATCAAATTGAAAAATGAATTTATTTGATTTTATTTATTTGGAAAACAATAAGTCAATTATTGTATGTCAATCGCCTTGATTGGTTGGGCTTCGAAACTCATCTATAACAAGGTGACAGCTGTTGCATCATGGATAAACGTGTATGAAATGAGGCTGAAGTCGTTCAGGGGAGGAGGAGTCTTCGAAATACCTCAATCAGAGTGGAAAAAGTGCTTCGACGATTGGTTCAAACGCATTTAGAAGTCTAAAGATCTCAATGAAGAATATTTTCAAAAAGAGTCAAGTGATTTTCGATGTTTAATATTTGTTTTTGTTTTCTAATACCGAGATATAAAATATAAGTCTTGTACTATTGTTTCTTTGAAAACTAAGTCCATGTATTAGATCATATTTTAGTATATGTGCAGCCAAAAAAACAAAGTCCACAGAATTCAATTAGTAAATAGTAGTGGGGTTCATATATGAATAAGACAATGACAAAATAATTTTAGAAAGAATTTTTAACTAATTCACATTTATGCGGATTTTATTATTTTTGTGGAAGTGCTTATAAAGAGGTCTAACTGCTAAGGACATAAGTGGAAATTTGCTCAATTTTTTTTAGTTTTTAAGCAATTCAATAACTTTTCACGGCTCACAGCCCCTTTTAGCGTTTAGAACTCGATACGTAAAACTTGAGTGCAGTAACAAAGCGTAGAAAAAAACTAGGAGTGAATACGATATTAGAAAATAATACTACCTCCAAGATTTTCACAGTTTTTGCTACCTCAATGATTATTAGAAAACAATTTATTTTAATGGTAAGTTGAACGGCTAGAGTTTGATAACCGCCAAGATTTAAAACTGCACAGCAACAGACAAACAAATTCCGAAATATGCTGAAACATAAAATTAATTATGCTACTTTAGAAATTTATTGAGTTACTTCCTAGAAGAGTTTAGTATAGTATAGTATAAAGAAACGCAGCAGTTGTATGAATATATCTTTTTTTCTAGCTCAATGCTTAGCATACCTTACAGTTCCGGAAATGAACCAGAGTATAGAGAGATCGAATTGTTTAAAATTTGGTACAGAGTAGCTTTTTGATTGAATTAACTCATTCAATATCCCCGGCTGATGATGTATAAATAGCAAAAAAAAATGGAACCGAAAGGTTTTGAGTACGATTTTGAAGTCGTGCTTACGTATTGTTGTTGTTATACCGGTTCGCTAACCCCGCTTAGGCACAGGTTCGTGCTTACATCTTGAGCAGAGCTGTTCCACTAACCAAACGATACCTTTCGGTTTTATCAATGTGAAAAATAAACTTAACAAAACGATTTTGTTTCGTACCGGAAACGAAATGAAATTGTTAATGTTGAAACCGTACAAACGTTTAACCGTTGACATTGATTTTAAAACGTCTTTTCGCTATGATATTAATAGAACACTCGTCAATTTTAACTTTTAACTTATCTGTTATCGAATTTATCATATTACCAGCACACTTCAAATGTGAGGCTTAACAGTCTCTGTTAACGATTTAACATTAACAGCAGCATTTATTTTGAGAACTGTTTCAATAATGTTATCGTTGCCTAATGCTCGTTTCCACAATGCCCGTTTATGTTAGCCTTTAACCGGAGGATAGCTAACCGTCAAATGGACTGATGTGACATATTCGTTTTCACCAAGTTCTTGTTACTTTGATCATTGTGAATATTTTAAGGTAAATTCAGAAAAAATTGCGATGTGAGTACATCAAAACTGCATGAAAGCTTGTATTTGCTTAAATTTTTCCACACAATGTGATTGAGTAATTCTTAAGATCTTCCGTTTTATTTTTTATTTTTTTTTTATTTTTATTTTGTGGTTATGGAAAAATATTGTAATTTAATGTAATTCAATTTATTTTATATATTTTTATTTGGTCAAAATCCTGTTTTTTTTTTTTAAATTATATATATAAAATGTATGTAATATATGTATATGGTTTCTCTGCACCAAAACTATGTTTTCCCCAACATTAACGGATGTTTATGCTGGTTCATTCGCTTGAACTTCTGCCTCATCCAAGTTAGAGTCGTTCTAAATAGCAAAATTGTGCAACACTCTACAAGCAACAATGGTGTTCATAGTTATGTTGAGCGAAACTCTCAATTCCTAGCGCTCGATATGTTACTTCGAGTACGGATTTGATATTCATTGTAACGACGTTCGAAGCAAAGATTGGGATGTAAAAGTTGACACATCATTTACACTTGTTTTACTCAAACCCGTGGCTCAGGCAGCTACCATTAAAAATAATGCTGTCATGTCCATAACTATGTCAAATGCATACAAAGTCCATTACTTCCATTCTACAAGTACCCTTTTCTGCGCGTTGTGCTCTCAATTCGCTGCTTTTTCGGTATTCTGGAGCAGGATTGGACAAGTGCTGTGGTAGTAAAGTATACAATTTATTGGCAGTCGCCACTGTTATTGCGCCCAATACCGGAACACAAATTAAACCACTTCCCGATGCTTACAAACTTAATGTTTTAAGCGAAATTTCCACTGCTTTGTTCCAACAAAATCAGATAAATTATCGACAATATTTATCCAAAGCACATTATTTTCATAAGCCTTTCAGTGCGGCTTCTAATTTTACTTTCTATTTTTTCCAAAACGTGTTTTGCTTTAAATTTGGAAAGACGAAATTTATGAATAAAATTTAATTTATCATATTTCTAAAAAAAAATCTTTTGTGTTCGTTCGTTATAAATACGAACCTGAATCAGCGCAGCTAGATTGTCAGTGCGTTCCATATTTTCCATAATAAAATTTATTTTAAAGCCAACACCGGTATACTATTTTATTTATTATTTTCCATTAATTTCCAGCTGCCAAATTATCTTCTGGTTACGAATTTTATGCTACCTTCGGATTAAGTTATGTAAGAAATTGAAAAAAAATTGTAACCACTCAAACACGATTTTATGCCGAGCTCCTCCTCCAATTTGTGGTTTTGCGTCTTGATTGATCTACAGTTTATACTAAGCCACCTCTGAATTTCTACTGTTTTTTTTACGAGGAGCCTTTATTTCTTGTCCGAAACACTCTCGGAGGAGTGGACATTCCCTGCCGATGGCAACCGCAATTAGAAAATTAAACTAAACTTTTAATTGAAATAAATTTTCCATAACTTTTTGGATGTTGGTCGTACCAAGTTTTGGACCCGCCGCCACCACGGTCTCATACAAGAAAGCCTCAACAACATTTGGCCGGGTCTGCTTGTTATTTAGGAAAATGAAATTGTTCATAATGTTTTTCTGTTTAAATGTTATTAAATTAGTTAATTGGATTAATTTTAATTGACTTTAATTTAGAATAAATGATCAAAAATATTTTCTTTTTATTGAAATGATTTTGGGAAGATATTGCTAATATTTATTTTTCCTTGCGTGAACCTTAATAAATTATTATCGCTTGTAAATACACGCACAATATACTATTTATTATCGCATTGATGTATTTACACATACATATACTCGTTTGGATCTAACTCCACGCAATTCACAGCTCGGAAATGTTTTCACTGTATAATATTGATTGGCTGTTTTATAGCAAAACTTACTCTCTCGATATTTCCATGCCGACAATCTGTGGCGCCTGAAACAAACTGTTCGCCGCAAGACCAGTTAAGCCCGTGCAGAAGAGGAACACCCAGTAGTAGTTGGTTGTTATAATGGAGAATGACCGTCCCAATGCGCAGAATGCAATGCTGATGTAGTAAACAATGCGACGTCCATATCTAAGGGAAGAGAATAAAAAATTAATAAAAACAAAACTTAAAAGAAAATATTCAATGAAACAGCAAACATTGCAAGAAAGAAGAAAAGTTAAGAGTAGAGAAGATGTCTCCGAGCAGAGGCTACAGCAGCGGGAAAGTCATTTTCAATTATCCACTAGCAGCCGCGGTTGACTTTATCTTATATTTCTGCTTAATCCAACTGCATGCTGCACTGGACAGTCGACCAACTGTCATGCTCATTGGCTATGCCACCAGCCAGCAGTTGGGTATATATATGTGTGTGTGTGTGTTTGTCTGCAAGGTTATAAAATGTTACTGCACTTACGCGTCACCCATTTGTCCCAGCACAAATGATCCGACGACTTCTGTCACACGTCCCACTACAAATGTATTTGTTACATATAAATCCTTGGCGCATACCCAGTCCTCCTTGGTGGTTATAGTGTCTTCATACCATGTCCGATCATAACTCCAGCCATGTTGGCAAACTGCAAAACGGAAGAAACGATAGAAGGAAGGATGCATAAATGGTCGAGCAGAAGGCAACAATCAACGATAGTTTCGTATTTTTCTATACGAAAGCGAATGCGAAGAGGAAAGGGAAGTCGTAAGTGTGAGCGGAAAAGTGAGATGAATGTACATATGTATGTATATATTATAGTATATACGTATATATATGAAGTGCTGTCTTCACGGAATGTAAGCATGTAAATTGTTTACTAGAGCATTTCTAAATATTTGTTAGTTGGTTTTCTCATTTACAACAAAATTAAAGCAAACTGATTCAATTCAAGATGCCGTACAACAACTATAAAAACCACAAGCAAACTAAACCAAACCAAACGAAACCGAGGCAAACCAAAGCAGAGCAGAGCCGAGCAGTGCAGAAAAAAACAAAAAAAAGCAAAGCGATCCAAACTCAAACTAAAATGAAATTCAATGAAACGAAGAAACCAAGAGACCAAGTTGAATTGAAGGGAGTTGAAGCGAGTGCGGAATTTGTAAGTGGAAGTGAAATGAAATCGCATCGCTGTTGTAAGTGAAACGCATTAAAGTGCAAAGTTGTAAAAAGTTATGCCAAGTAAATGGAAAAGTTACTTTTGCTCGTCACACTCATGCCTGCCAGCCTCGTCTCTTTTCCATCAAGAGAGACGCAAGAATTTCTTTCTCCGCTTCTTATATTACTACTTATCCGTGGTCCTTTCCTGCTCATTGATTTAGTTTTTATTACGAGAATTGCACTTTTGCTCTCGTTCCGTCTCGTTTGTTTGTTTGTTTATTTGTGTGTCTGTGTCATTTTCATTTATTCTGCAATGTTTGGTTATAAGTTTTCGTAATTTTCGAAGAAATATTTATTTGTGCGATTTGTGTAAAATTATCACGGTTGCAAGTAATAAGTTTTTGAATTTTAATGTTGAATATTTTTAAACTAATAATACATATACGGATAATGGAAACGATTGAAGAGTTGTTATTGTCATTGGTGAGTATAGAAGTGAATATAACTGATGGATATAAGAACTAGTTGGACACCGTATAAGAAAATATATTCTTATTTTTCTTTCCTAAATCCAGACAGTCTTCAAAGAAACTAATATTCAAAACGCCTTCATTAAAATACCGAAAAAAAAGAAAAAATAAAAAATATATCAGAAAATACATACGAAAGTGTTAAGAAATACTCTGGCTCAAAAGCAACCGGCGATTTTTAATACAAACGGCATTGGCAATTTTTTTGGACACCTTGTGACTATTTAATTGTATTTTTTCCTTTGAAAGTTATTAGCTGTCACTTTTAGTTTGCTATAAAAAAAGTAGGGGTAATTTTTTTTATGTTTCATTGTTTGGCGTCAATTTTAATAGGGAGCCCACAAAAGATTTTTTTTGACATATTTTACTTTATTATTTTCTTAAAGGAAAAAATGCAGCGCAGGTGCGAAAAAGTTCCATAATTTGTATGGTGATAAGGTCTTAAAAGAAACTCAATGTCGAAGTTGGTTTGTCAAAGTTCGTTCGGCAGATTTTTCACTCAAAGATTAGCCAAGCACAGGGCGGTCATATGAAGTTGATGGTGACGATAGCAAGGCTTTAATCGAATCGGATCGTCATGTAACTGCACGTGAGATTGGAGAGAAGTTAAGTATACCAAAATCAACCACTCATAATCGTATACGTCGCCTTGGACTTGGACTTGATATTTGAATACCACATGAATTGAAAGCAATCCATTTAACAAGCCGCTTCAAAGCTTACACTTACATCTTCAACGTAATTAATATGATCCGTTTTTGAAATTGGAGATGAAAAATGGATTGCTTACAAGAACGTCAATCGAAAAGGATAAAGATCCAAGCACGATATTCACGAAAAGAAGATTAAGCTGACATTTTGGTGGAGTTGCAAGGGTGTGGTATATTTTGAGCTGCTTTCAAGCAACCAAACAATCAATTCGGTTGTCTACTGTAAACAACTGGACAAATCAACGAGAAGCGTCCAGGATTGGTCAGTCGTAAAGGTGTCATATTCCACCAGGACAATGCTAGACCGCACACATCGTTGGTCACTCGCCAAGAACTGCGACTGCTTGGCTGGGAACTGTTGATGTACCCACCATACAGTCTTGACCGTCAGACTTTGCAGAACTCATTTAATGGTACAAAGATCGAAAATGGCGAGGTTATAAAATCGCACTTTGTTCAGTTTTTGGCAGATAAGCCAGAAGTGGCCAGATGAGCCGGATGTAGCCGGAAAGATGGCAAAAGCTCGTTAAACAAAATTGGAACTTACATAATTCAATAAAGTTCAATATAAAATTAAAAAAACTGTATTATCTTTCTTTCAAAAAAAAATCGCCGATTTCTTTTGGGGCAAACCAATAGTTAACGCCTCGATATAGTAAACCCTATTAAATATCCAAATAGTGAAAACAATTTCAAACAAAAAGCAACAAAACACGTAGAAACGAGTCCAAAATGAATTAGGGTACACCCCTTATATGTGATTTTAGTGTTTATTTTTGAAATATCTGTTGTTTCTTGGCCCTAGCGGTAATGGTTTTTGCCCAAAATTAAAAAGCCGTTTGTGGTTAAATGTGAGTTTTTAGGTGAGTTTAAAAGTGAGTGCAAACAAACAAAAAAAAAAAGTAGTGAGATCATGTCTTCGTGGAAATTCTGTTCGTTAAAGTAAATGCTGGAAATTGTTAAAAATATTGAAAAAGATTTGGCATTTCTTATTTGGCGAAAGTAAAACTTTTCCCAAATTTAACGCATTAGAATTGAATAGAAAACACAGTCTTTCGATTGTAATTTTTTATAGAATCATAAAGCAGCAGAGATAGGATTATTTATGGAATGCTAGATTTCCATACCCATGCACACTCGTTTGTTGATATTTTCCATGAGATACAGAAAAAGAGAGAGACTACACAACCTGGAAATAACCCCTGCGGGTTAGGGGCTCAAGAATTTACCTGCGGTAAAGCATGCCTGTCGCAAGAGGCGACTAAAATCCAATAGTTCCCGCGACAGTCGGGTCTTTATACCGGAACGACCCGGATTTTTATCCGGCTAAAGACTGTGACAACTCCCGCAATATTCCCCAAAAAGTACTTTGGGGAATAATTTTGCGGTTACAACAACAATAACAACCTGGAAATGTTTCATGAAGTAATTAAAGGATTTCAAGGGCTTCATGATCGTATAGTCTAGATAACACCATTTATAGGCCACATCGATATCATCCAAGATCTACAAAAGAATTTGGGTTATTATGTCGTGATAACGAGCACCAGTAAGCATCACTGCTTGACCAATTGCTTGTGCCCTCAGCCAAAAATGCTCACCAAATGAAAACACTTTGTGACGTCGTGGCTACATTGGTTTTTCGACAATCACCTATCGGTTCTCAGAGCCCCAAAAGCGGATATTTCGGTGATTCACAAATATTTCAAAAGTTAAAATGTGCGCTCAGGATGATTCTGGTCTAAAAATTAGCAACATATTGTTGATGCGCAATAATCGATCCAACAAACTCCATTCGCTGTACATTGTCGATAGGCTTCAGTAGTGGAATTTTGTAAGCTGTCTACGACATCAAAGTGCGGTTCCTGGATTGCCAACGACACACTCACGCACTGCTTTGATATTGACATTTGAAGGACTTGTTTTTAGACGACTAACGGACCCAGTCTGTCAGAATTTTTCAATTGATCTCTTCACAATAGACGATGGTAAAGCAAGCGGGATAGGGCCATGTGCAGTAGTTTTGCGGAAATGAGGAAAGTTTTTGACTGCCATATACCTGGGAGTGGCCAGCAACAATTCTTTTGCATATGGTTTAAGCAGCTCACGACTTCTAGCTAACAAACAACCATTTGGAGGCCAACTAAAGTGCGAAGGCAAATCCCATGCGGTTGTGCGTAGGGTTTGGGACCGAACACATGAAAAACATAAAATCCAATGAAAATTCAAAATAAGCCTCGGATACCGCCCTTTTGATGATGACCCACTTAAATGCTTTAAGGTCCGGTCCCTTAATTGGGAAAGTGCTACTGCCCAGCTGGTTGATGTCTTCATAAAATAAAGCTGACATTACAGATTCGCTGGACGGGACAAGGACGGAAAAAGGTGGGTCCTTGTAAAATTTACAACAGCGGCCATATAGAAAAATGCAACTTCACCGCTAGGTTAGGCAAGGAAGATACTTTTGGAACAACAGTCGGAAAATTCAGCCTCCACGACGAAACATCCCCAAACGGTCTGAGGCTGATCGACTTCGCTTGGGGCCGAAATAAGGTTCCCTGTAGCACAAGATTCCAGCAGAGAAAAATTCACCAAGCTATTTCCAGATCTCCCGATTGAAAAACTCTGAACCAGATCCACCATGTTGTGATTGACGGAAGACATGTATCCAGTGTTTTAGATGTGTTTTCGAGATCCTAATTTCGCCGCAGCAAACATCGCACCCGCCTCTGTGTATCGAAGAACGCCCGTCAACAAACACAAGGAACTTGGTATAAGGCAACTGCAGGACGATAATTCAAACACCCTATGTATACAGCTGTAACCGAAATTATTAGATTTCGGAAAGATCGCAGCTGGCACGATGAGGACTGCGGTGTTGGAGTGGAGGGAAAATATACTGCTTACCTCGCAACCTTGCGATCGACCACAACGCGTGCGGGATGGAATAGCTACCGAGAGCTGAAGAGGGAAGCAAGACGCATCTGCAGACAAAAAAAAAAAAAAAAAAGAAAAAGGCCGAGATGCGTGACTATGAAGAGCTTGAGAGTCTGGCCTGCAAGGGTAATGCTCGAAAATTCTATGAGAAGATACGACGACATACGAAAGAGAACACTTCTCCAGCCTGCTAAATGACAGTCAATATGAAACGCCCGGGGCTGGTGAGCCCGAAACTCCAATTGATGACGATGAAAAAGTTGTTCCGTTACCCGATTATGAAGAAGCCCGAATAGCAGTGATAAGAAGAT